GCGTCTAAAGTTATAGTCAAGGTAAATTTCATAGCCTCTTCCTGTGGAAACCACAAGACTAGACTTTTCCAAAGCCAATTCTCTCTGTTTCAAGACCAAGAAGTAAGTTAGTTTTCAGCACTGAAAGTCTTCTGTAAAACCACTGGTATTGAAAGAACTGTCATTATTCACAAGTAAAATAATCTCTCTCTCTAGGGGAGGTCAGCAGCAAATCCTATGCAGATTTTTCACTTTGTGGCCTCTGCTCCTATAAATTGGTTTTCATTCCATTCACAGAGCATCTTTGTTTCTCCTAAAGTAAAGGGACTACAGTAAGTGCAGTTGGATCGTCCTTATAGATAACCTGTCAGAGACGATTGTGGCGGGACATGTGGGACATTGCAGAACCCATTGTGCCCTGGTGGGTTAAGCTGCTGACACCAGCAGCCGTATCAGTATCAGTTCAAGTCTTGGCCGTTCCACTTCACATTCCTGCTAATGTTCCTGAAAAAGCAGCTCATGAGGAACCAGATATTTGGGTCCCTGCCACCCACATGGAAAACCGAGATGGAGTTCTGGCTCTTGGCTTCCACCTGGTCCAGACCTGGCTGTGCGGCCGTTTTAGAAATGAACCAGTGGATGGAAGAACTAACCCTCCGTGTCTGTCTCTCTCAGTCTCATCCTCTCTTACTCTCTGTCACTCTGCCTTCCAAATTAAGTAAATATATACATAAATAAAAAACAGTGAACATAGACCAAGACGGCTTTTAGATCTTTCAGTACTGAAAAATGAGACGATGGTTACAATGCAACGTTTCCAAATTGATTATCCAGAGCAGTGGCTCAGCTTCCTGCCAGTCTTTTACATGCAGTGCCAGACTAAATAAGTCGCTTTTGGGGTTCATCTATCACAATTTATAATACATTATACCGAATCTAGTGTTCTCTCAGGCTAGTGTTAGGGGATTTTCTGTGTTCAGACTAAGAAATTGCATTTGAGGAAAGGGATTTCTTCTTTCTTTTTGCCTAGAATTTCTTTAGTTCTACAGAGTCTCTTAAGTGTATGGGACCCTTGTTGTACTTCAGCACTAATTGCAGATTGATTTTAAGAGTTTGAAATCTTAACTGGGAATGACTTTAAATTAACGTTACATGAACTACTATCAATTGTTCACTGAAAAATAAAGTATTTAATTATAGATGAAGGAAAGTGCCTTCCAGCTTGCTAACTATGATAAGCACTTTATATTTTCAAAATTCAAATACAGTTGTTAGACATCCATTTCTCAGAATGGATGATTGAGGAGCCTTATACTATCACCTCCTGTTTTTACAAATGGCATGCTTAACCCATAAAAATTAGATTGTCCATCTTAGATCACATAGAACGGAAAAAATAATTAGGTTTGAAGTTCTCAATGTTCATACTCCTATCTAGTTTACAGGGCTATATTCTTACTCATTTTCTGACTAGTCAAAATGAAAAAGTTTTCTGTACTCCATTATGAGAGATGTCTACACACACGCACATACCCTCACTCAGCCAATTTTCTTCCTTCGAGTATTTTCTTAGAGTATTAGACATGAGAAGCAGTTATTTTGTTACAAGGACAACATAGGCAAATACAGAGACCGACCCTGGTGTCAAATGATTCCTGTGATTTTTTCCAGTATTCCTGAACTGGAACTTGCTTAACAGAATGATTGCCCCTCTTTTTCTCGTTGGAATCTGTGTCATTAGAAAGACTTAGATGGTTGGCTTATGCGAAAACTTTGTCTGATACAGATATCAACAAATAATGTTGGCAGTTCATTCTTTCTTAAAAGTGTATTTGAGTTCATATAATGCTTTCTATAGAAATGAAAAATGACATTTTCAATGTATTTATTGTTTATAAAATTTATAATCTTTAACATTTTTAGTTTGAGTTTTAAAGATTATTTTTTAAAAAAATTTCTAAGATGTAACATGAATGTTTAATATGTTTTATCAGTGGTTTTGAGTTGTTTAGTAGTGTAAATCTAATTTGAATGGCTTGCAGTTTTCTTCACTGTCTAGTCACTTTCATAGGTCACTCCACAGAAACAGAACTAGCAATCAGTAAGTGCATGGTAAATAAATATTAATCACTTAGACACGAGTTTGTGTGTGTTTGCAGATGTACAACATATAACTTTGTAATAAAAATTATTCTGAAGAGTACTCCCATATGTACTCTTATATTAACAATTGGAAATTGTTAATACATTAACATATAGAATATGAATTATAAACAAATTTTGACTTGTTCAGAAATTTTATTTAGATTTACTACTTCTCTCTTGAGGAAAATTCTTAGCAAATGAAAGCAGCTCTCACTTCAATATTATGGTGCTAGCAAGAGTGAATGTTCTTGACATGCTCTTTTCAGATCTATTTACAAAAGAAAACTATATTCTGTGTTCTTATGATTTGTTTATATATAAAACTCTAATTATGATTGCATTGTAGGTACAGAATGTTATCTAACAAATATAATATCTAGAAATAAGCATTTTGCTCACATTTCCCTTGCCAGAGACAATGTGAAGTCATATCCTACTGCCTATGAAAATATGATTATACAACTATAGATAATAGAATGAGGATCCTGTGTCTGCTTTGTTTATTACATGTAATCAGGACATACTGTAGTGCCTGCTCATAAGGAGCAGCCTTAAAAATATCTCCTGAGTAGAAAGGAAGGTGCAGATATTGCTTTTGATCCTCATTTGTCTATCATCAAGAGGCAAATCAGAAAATGGATAAAAATATTGGAGGATAAGAGTAAAGAAACTTAGAAGTATTTTTTTCAGGATTTAAAAATGTATCTATCTGTAGTTGATTCTGAACATTTCTATAGATTTCCTTGATATATCCTGGCTGTGTTGGACTAACAAGAAAATGTGGCTAAATTCAGAGACAGTTATCCAGAAAGGGCTTACACAGACTTTGTTGTCTGCAGATCCACTAAAATGATGTGGATTTTGACAGTATAATTATGTATTTTGGTTTAGTGGTAAAAGTGGCCAATATTCTGGTCATTGTGTTACACTACATATATTGTGTTTTATCAGATAGGGATAGCAATGTGAAAACAGAAGGAAGCGGGGAGGATGTTGGGAAAAAGAACACTGTGCATGTAGGAGAATCGCTGTTGGAGAAAGCTATTCGATGCTAGGATGCTAGTCTCAGGGTGTCGTTCAGAGTTCAGGTCCTCAGGAAGCCTGTTGATGCTTCCCCAGTGGACTTCTGGCAGTCCTCACCACTGCCCAGATCTTGAGGACAGCACTGACCTTGGGTTTGGAAAGCACTGCTATTAGGATACAAACGGTATGTTTTCCAGTTCTTGTCACAGAAGTGCTTTTGGTTGTCTGCATGAGAAAGCCTGCTGGCAGTTTCTAACTGGAGATGTTTCTTTATGGTAGAAAAGAGCGGTTCTTGGCAAAGCTGTGGTTTTTTCTTCAGTTTAGCTTGTTTCAGTACATGAAGAGACCTCATTAATGTGAATTGATTAAATTTTTACCAAACTACGTGTCAACAGCAAGTACAACCTTAAAAGAATTTTCTTCAGTATGACATTTGCATATTACTTAATTTATTTTGGAAGTTACCCGGACACCCACGCTGTGGCATAGTGGGTAAATCCACTGTCTGTAGTGCCGGCATCCCATAAGGGTACCATTTGTAGTCGCGGCTGCTCCACTTCCAATCCAGCTCTCTGCTGTGGCCTGGGAAAGCAGTATAAAATGGCCCATGGGGGGCCGGCACCGTGGTTCACTTGATTAATCCTCCACCTTTGGCACCGGCATCCAATGTGGGCGCCGGGTTCTAGTCCTGGTTGCTCCTCTTCCAGTCCAGCTCTCTACTGGGGCCTGGGAAGGCAGTAGAGGATGGCCCAGGTGCTTGGGTGCCTGCACCTGCATGGGAGACCAGGAAGAGGCACCTGGCTCCTGGCTTCCGATCCGCCGGCCGTAGTGGCCATTTAGGGGGTGAACCAATGGAAGGAAGACCTTTCTCTCTGTCTCTCTCTCTCTCACTAACTCTAGCTGTCCAACCAAGTGATACTGGTAGAAATGCAACAGTAAAAAAAGAAAAAGATGGCTCATGTCCTTGGGCCCCTGCACCTGCATGAGAGACCTGGAAGAAGCTCCGGGCTCCTTGCTTCAGATAGGCACAGCTCCAGCAGTTGCTGTCAGTTGGGAAATGAACCAACAGATGGAAGACCTTTCTTTCTCTCTGCCTCTCCTTCTTTCTCTGTGTAACTCTGACTTTCAAATAAATAAATATATCTTAAAAAGAAAAGAAATTACCCAATAACTGATGGGTGTTGATTAGAGTGTTACATATTAACTGAAAACTTAATATACAGTGATTTAATATAAAGATTGCATCATTTTTTCAAGATTTATTTTATTTATTTGAAAGGCAAATTTACAGAAAGAAAGGGAGGGAGACACAGAGCATCCACTGCTTCACTCCCCAAATGACCTCAACAGCCAGGACTGGACCAAACTGAAGCCAGGAGCCAGGAACTTCTTTTAGGTCTTTGATGTGCCTGCAGGGGCCCAAGCACTTTAGCCACATCCTGGTACTTTTCCCAAGCCATTAGCAAGGAACTGGATTGTAAGTAGAGCTGCCAGGACTCCAACTGACATCCATACGGGATTCTGAGTGGTACCAGATTCCATCATTTGTTCAAAATGCAGTGGCAGTATTTTTTAAGCATAATTATACATAGGTTAAAAGTTTACTTTTTAATATCACTGAGAAACATGCAATTTATAAAATCAGTGTTTGGAGCCTTTAAGTGTCTTAAGGTTTAGCTTATTTGATTACCTAAATGAGCTTTATTGGTATGCACACTATTTAGAAATAGCAAAGAAATATGTATATATTTTATTTTTTATTTTATTTCAGCCCAGAGAGGAACCTGCAGTCAATGAATTTCTAAAATTATGAAGGTAACACTAACCACATATGGATTTTTTTTTTATTTTAGCATTAAAAAAAGGACGATTCTGGATAACACCAGATCCTTATCACAAAGATGACAACATCCAGATTGGGCGTGAGGTGAAAATATCTTGCCAAGTAGAAGCTGTTCCTTCTGAGGAGTTGACATTTAGTTGGTTTAAGAATGGCCGTCCATTAAGAAGCTCTGAGCGGATGGTGATCACCCAGACTGATCCTGATGTTTCCCCCGGAACAACAAACTTGGACATCATTGATTTAAAATTCACAGATTTTGGAACATACACATGTGTGGCATCTCTGAAGGGAGGAGGGATCTCTGATATCAGTATTGATGTTAATATATCCAGCAGCACAGGTAAGGCATGTATTTACGAATGAAACGATATTCAGGTTTAGAAAACTAAGTTTTGCCAGAAAAGAAATAATCTTTAGTTAAAGTAAGACCATTCTTCTTATAAGAGTCTTAAAAAAAAATCCTATTATTCTAAATGGTCAGTAAATATATTGTGACTTTATACATATACATATATATATATATATTTAGATTTATTTATTTATCTGAAAGGCAGCATTACAGAGAGGCAGGGGAAGAGAGATACAGAGAGAGAGAGAAAGAGGTCCTCCATCCACTAGTTCACTCTCCAATGGCTATATATATATAGGTTTCTAGGTTAAATTATATCAGTTTTTCATTAATTACCCCCTATGGAGCCTACAATTATATTGATACACTAAAAAAGAATGTTTAAAAATTTAAGATGTCTTCAGAAATTATAGACAGAAACTCTTTTGTTCTAAGAAGAAAATATTGAGAGATAATTTAAGACTGTTCAAATACAAAATATATGTGAGTGCTTTGGAAAGTTCATGGAAAAGTGCAATTCAAAGATTAGTTAATTTCGGTACAAAAATTTTGAAACCTATGTATAGTTTTTCACGGTAAGTTTATGTTGGCCCAAATATTCTGGAATGTATATGTAATTTTTTATAGCATGAATTTTTCATGAATTTTTTAAAGACCAATATGCGCTACACTAGTAAAAACCAATAAAAATTGTGTTAAGGTGGTTATCAGATGTGACATTTTGAAGAATCCTGTGATACAGTATTGTCACAATGGAAATAGTTAAATATGAAAATATATTGCTCTAAAATTCCTTCCTTTAAGGTTAAAGATGAGACCATGCTGCGATTTTCTCTTGACTGAATATGAGTCTGTTGATGAGAGGGAGGGAATGGGAGGACACACTAGCTTCACCTCAGGACGATAGAAAGCCCTGTGCTTCCATGAAATATGATCTGCATGTATCCACAGAATTCCAAACTATCTGTGTTTTGCCAACCTGTTACCAGATTGACAATTCTTGAATGATATGTGTTGAAAATGTGGAGTGCAAGTGTTATGAGCGTACTCTGTTTTGAGGAATATCTAACAATTGGCTTTTCCTTTCCAGTCAGACAGCGTTTTAACTCTTGAGTGTTAATATACTCACCTGTACTTTGTGCCTTCTGCTGGGTCCAAATTGCCGTGCACTTGGGATTGATTTTGTTCCTTGAGGGCACCAGCTCCACACTTCAGGCTGATGAAATGTGTTTAGTTTTCACAATTCTGCTTTATTTTAAAGGGTATTCCATTTTTTATTAGTTAAAATTAGTGTAAAATGAAATTAGGGTAATGAAAAGTATGTTTCAGATATTAGTCCTTTTCTAGGTTAAAACAACATTTTTAAATTTAATGGATATTTAAATATTGCTCTTAGCATTAGAAGATGGATTTATTTATGGTATCTGATAGAAAACTGTAGCTATGCCCAGTTATTCATTTAAGTATCAATTAATTGGTAAATACCTATTGATCATTGTATCAGTTTGCTATGTGACATTGTATGAGATGACAACCCACATCTGGTGTTTTCTGTTAGGATAAGAACAATTTTTTATGATTCAGGATCATGCATTCTTATTTCTGAAGTACATTTTTCAAGAATTGTTCTACATTTCTTTATAAGCATTCTCTTTGGTCATTTGTTGGCTTTTTTTTTTTTTTCTGCTGTTTCTTTTTCAGCACCAGTTATTAAAAGACCAGATCCAAGGAATCAATATTTCTATCTGAAAGGAGTTGTTTGAAAGGAGCACAGTTCACATGCTATTAAAATTAGACAAAAGAGGGAGCACACATCAGGGAAAACAAAGGAATATTGTGCAGTTATTTACAAAATGAGTACTAAAGTTCACTTTTAGTTTCTTTGGTTCTGTTGCCTATATGAAACTGTTTTTCAATGGCAAAGTAGAAAAGATGACCAGCATTATTCATGAAATTTCCAAAAATCCTAAAAGGAAATTTCAAAATTATCAGGAAGCACATTGTACTCAAGAATTACCTCTTAGTAATAAGAGATTACTTGAAAAAATTAAATTATCTTGATTATTATCAGTATGCCTCAGTATCAAAGATAAAAATGCTAGAGAAAAAGGAAATATAATCTTATTCCAAAATACTCCTCCCTGAAATCCCCTACCTACTACAGACATCCCTGATTCTTCTAGAGTTGTCGAGAGAAATTAGACCTCAAATATATCGGATGGCTACTGTGCTTTTTAAGTCTGAGCATACTTCTGGTAAAATCTTGTGGATGATTTTGTCAATGTAGATGCAAGAAAGTTTCATAGAAAACTGACATTTGGTTTTATATCTTGATGGAAGTTTCATTTTGGTAGTAACAGCAGGAGAGTACATTTGAGAAAATACACAGGATGAAGAAAGTCCCAGGAATACTAGTAATTCTTTATTTCTTGCTTTTACTATAGCATTGATATTAGTTAACATAAACCAATAGTGTTGGTTTATTTCAATTTTACAGTTTTTATTATTGAGCTATACAGTACCTGACTAGACCATGGATATCTAAAAATACATTATATTCATTGTTGTTAAATTATTGAAACAAGTATTATAATTCAGTATTATACAATAAAAGTGCTTCAGATAGTTGCTGAAAACTGCACAGGAATTTAGCCTAAAATTTAAGTAGCAGTATAAATCAAAAATTCTTAAAACATGGCAGTAGATCATTATTCATTTGTATAAATATAATTTTTAAAGAAGTAACATTAATATTTAGGACTATCTTCTTTTCTCCAGTTTTCTTCCATGGTAAAATCCCCAAGCGCTCATTAGCTTACAGGTATTCCTCTGAATGATGCCGTAGAGTTATTAGTTTATAGTAAACTCTGAAGCTCTTACACCTTGGAAATGTAAGAATAAGACGTGATCATTGGAATTCCATGACACACAGTTGAGCCATCTGCTGGACACATAGAGAATAAGGTTTGGATGATTGTTTTCTTCCTTGTTAAGGCTATGGGCACTCTGCATGGCAGGAAGCAAAATGTGAAGGAGCCAGATGTAGAGGATCTAATAGGAGACTGAAACATAAACATAGGTGCACAGTGGTGAGCAACTGAGAAAAGGAGCCCCACATTTTAACATTGCTGCTGACTGCCTGTCTAGGCATTGTCATTGTGAAAGTTGACCAGTGCCTGTGCAAGAATTCACAACTTTGAAATGGAAGTTCAGGAAAACATAGGACAACAGTATGCAATGAATAAGAACAGTTATTGAGCAAGGGAGTAAAGAAAAAAAATTGCATGTGCTCCTTGGCCCTTTTGCAGTTAAGAAAGAACAGAAACTCATATAAGTCTGCAGCTTAAATCCTCAGTTCTGTAATATGACTTCACTGGAGGATGGTTATTCTATGTAAGAAGAAGTCATACAAGTGACAGAAGCAGCCCTGGCCATGCTCTGGGCAGAGCAAGCATCCATTCAGTCAAAAGTTATGTAATTAGGACCAGGGTTACTGGATGGGGAGAAGTTAATTTCTTGCCTTGAACCCAAAATTATGAAGTTCAATCCATAACTTCCAAATTAATGATGACTATCAGAGGTTGGCAAACTTTGTGTCAAGGGCTGGACAGTCAATATTTTCTGCTTTCCAGACTGTATGGTTTCTGTCACAACTGTTCCACTCGGCGATTAGAATGGGCATCCTGCCATGACAGTAAATAAATGGGCACAGCTGTGTGCTGATAGAACTTTATTTACAAAGACAGTTGGTAGGCCATATTTTGCCCACAGGCCATAGATTGTTGACTTTTAGCCTACACCTTTGAAACACTATTAATTAAGAAGTCAAATAATAGGAAAATTAAACTCTATGGACTTCTAGGTAATTAAGTTAAACCCATATTTAACCTATTTTTGTCCATACAGACATTGATATGTTTTAAGACTGAGGCGACATCTGTCTTATTTCCCCCTTTACGTGTCAGTTTGTTGGCTGCCTTGTGAGGACTTTAGTGCTGGAATATTCCATTGAATGGGACTATGCTACGGAGATTCCTGAGATTATTTTGCCTTTGCATACATTTCATTCCTAACAAACAGAATTTTGTGCTGTAGTCCCTATTCCATCATCTACCTTATACATCTGTTTCTAAGTATTTTTTAATATTTTGTCTAATTGAGAAGGCATACTGAAAAACACAGCTTTAGAAACAATGAGATGCTCTGAGAACTTTAGAGTATCTTGATTATGGGCTGTTTTTTCTGTGTGGCTCATTGGTCACTTTTCCCACTGGCAGCTCTGGCTTCACACAGATTATATTTGCTCTTTATCTCTTGAAGATTCCTTTCTTAACCATCTGACTTCTGTGTTTTTTTGAAAGGGGTATTTTATCTGTCCTTGATAGGAGCCAGGAAGAATCACAGTATTTCGAGCAGGATGTCACTAGGGAAACTGTCCCCTAAAAACAAAACAATGAATTACCTCCTCTACAACCTTTATCATTTTTCTTTTATAGCTTTTCCTCTTCACTTGTACCATCGGGACTGTAACTAAATGTGACTAAACAGGTATCTTTACTGTGTTAATCTCAGAGTCCTGAGTTGCTATTGTGCTGAGTGAATTTTCTGGAGAGATGCTGATTTATGTAATAGCGTTCTTATTGAGCACGTGTGTTTCACTAAAATGTATACATAGAACATTCTTTAGAAATATTAGATTAAGCACACTCATAGAGATACGTAATTCCTTTCATTTGTGTTTTTAGTAAGTAATAATATTAATATCAGACTATATGGTAGACACAGTTAGATAAATTCATATTTAGATTTATAAAAGTTACCAAGAATATTACATGCTTAACATTACTTATTTGAAAGTAAGTTTTCTCTTTAAATGGGTTTTTATTTAAAAATGTGAATGGTTTTCTATTAAAATTTCTAATGCTTTAAAGAATTATTAAATAGTCTTTAGAATTATGTCTTCTGTTCTCTTGTATAAATCCTACATTGTT